AAGCCCAAGGCCCTTACGTCCACTACCCTGATCACAAGACTGCCCTGCCCTCCCCCAACTGGATTCCCCCTCCCTCTTATGCCACCTTTGCCAAACCTTCCCAGCCCCTATGCCCTCCGCTGCACTCTTTTATGAATTAACTCAATCTTGGAATCTCCCCTGACACCACCCATTTAGGCCTTTTCCATGGAAGATGTTGTATCTCCCAACCCCTACCACCATGGGCACAGAGATAAGAATGGGGACAGGAGGGAGATGCTGGAAGCCTCCCTGCAGCTCCACCACTGCTTTGAAACCACTGCTCCTCAATCCCCAACTGAAGAGAAACACCGTGAGGCTCATCCAACTCCCTACGTCTCTGTCATTGGCCACCAGTCCTCACAATCATCAGGGATGTCTGGCACCTGCATCCTGTTATGTTTCTCTCACATTCTGAGGAAACAGGAAATAGCACACGCTGAAAAGTCCAGCCCTCTGCTTCTCCTACCCTGGGTCTTTGACTCTTCCCAAGCCAAGCTTCTTAAATGCGGAGACTACAATCGCATATTTATTTGGTTTCCTCTCCCTCCCTCCTCATTGTCCCCCTACATCTGCAGAACATTGCCTAGCTAAAATCTCCACTGAGTTCCACGCTGCCAAACCGAAGTACTCAGTGCTGACTTGGCCGCAGTTAACACTCCTTTTCTCAATCAACACACTCTGCTTTCTCAGTGCCCGTGACAGCCACCCCCCACCCCCGGCTTTCCTCCTACCCCTCAGACCATTACTTCTGTGTCTCCTCGTTGGTCCTTCTGCTTTGATCACCTCTAACATCACCTCTAACATCTTGGCTTCCAACCTTTGCCCTGGGCTCTTCTCACTCTGTAATACATGATTTTGGGTGACCACATCGCCACCCAGAACTTTAACCAATCTGTCTTGTATTCATCCTTATCCCCTTGCATGCTGACGGCTTCCCCCATCACTAACTCTACCTAGGAAATCTCAGCTGAGCCCCAGAGACCTTATAAGCCATGGCCTGTGAGACATCTCCACTCAGATGTCCCACAAGCCCTGCAAATCAGCAGGTGATACCAAATCTGTGCCCCCTGTCTCATGGGCAGGCACTGCCATCCACACAAACCCTTATATGAAAAACTTAGGAATGCTCCTAGGTTTGCTCTTGATCCTCCCATGACTCTCCTGGAATGCTCTGGAAAAGGCCAACCACGATCTCTAAGTTGCCACAGATGTGCACAAAGTCCTCCATGAGGGCTCTGTTCTTGGCAGAGGCGCTCTGAACGTATCCAGAGCAGAGGTGGACGCCCTGGTTTGGGTGGCTCCCACAGGAACTCTGAGAAGACCTGGGCCCTGTAATATATCTGAGACAGTGAACTCCTCGTCTTCTGTAAGAACTCAACAGCTAACATCTAACTCGATAAATCAGGACATAGCAGTATAAGCCCATCATTTAGAAACACAGAGATCCACTTGGGAGAGCGTGGTGCTGACAGCACCAAGTCAAGGGTTAAGATCCCCTTACCAGTCATCTTCTTAAAAAAAAAAGAAGAAGAAGAAGAAGAAGAAGAAGAAAAAGGAAACACAGAGATCAATATCCAGAAGAAATAGCCAAACAAAGAAAGTTTGGGGTGGCGGGTCTCCATGGATGTGCATGAAACATGGGATCGCTGAATTTTATTTTTCATCATGAATTTCCTGGTACTATTTGGCCTTTTATCGAATCATGCGAATTAATTTGATAACACAAATGATAATGAAAAGTCAGTCTCCACCCATTACTACCTCCAGGCCCAGGCAACCACTAATCTACCTTCTGTCTCTGTAGATTTGCCCTTTCTGGGCATTTCCTATAAACTGTAAGCAGTCTATCCTGTCTGGCTTCTGTCGCTTAGCATAATGTTTTTGAGGTTCTAACATGCTGTAGCATGTGTCATACGTTTGTTCCTTTTTATTACTCCGTAACATTCCACTGTATGGATATACCATATTTTCCTCATCCCTTCAGCAACAGGTAGACATTTAGGTTGTTTCCACTTTGAGGCCATCACGAATAATGCTGCTATGAACATCCCAGTACGGGTCCTTGTGTGCACACGTTTTCCTAATTTCTCTGTGTCTTCATTGCTTTTTCTTGCAGGATTACACTGGCTAGAACCTGTAGTACAATGATGGACAGAAGTGGTGGGAGCAGACATCTTTGCCTTGTTCTGGATCTTAAGGGAAAAGCATTCATTCTTTCACTAGTAAATGTGATATGAGCTATAGGTTTCTCATAGATGCCCTTTATAGGTTGAGGACATACCTTTCTATCCCTAGTTTGTTGAGCCCTTTTTTTCTTTTTTCTTAATCATAAATGGGTCTTGGATTTTGTCAAGTGATTTTTCTTTGTCTATCAAGAGGATCGTATGGTTCCTGTCCTTTACTATATTAATACTAGGGCACGTCAAAAAGTTGTTGGAAAAATGGAACGAAAAGACAATAGGAATCTTTCCATGAAGTTTTTGACATACTCTCATGTGGTACATTACCTTAATTGAATACCCAATGTTAAACCAATCTTGCATTTCTAGCATAAATCTCCCTTGGTCATGTTGAATAATCCTTTGTATATGTTGCTGGATTTTTGGTTTCCTGATATTTTCTGGAGCTTTTGTGCATCAATATTCATGATGGATATTGGTCTATAATATTCTTGTGATGTCTCTGTCTGGCATTAGTTAGCAGGGTAATACTGTTCTCATAGAATGCATTGGAAAATGTTCCCTCCTCCTCCATATTCCAGAAGAGTCTGTGAAGGATTGGTATTATTTCTTCTATAAATCCTGGATAGAATTCACCAACAAAGCCAGCTGGGCCTGGGCTCTCCCTTGTGGGAAGATTTTTAATTTACTCTTTCGATTTCTTCAGTCGGTCAAGGTTCATCCAGATTTTCTATCTGTGCATTACCTTTGAATCTCACTCTGTCCCAATATTTCCTTGCCTGCTGGTGCCTTTGGTTGGTCTCTGACCTAGAATTTGACATGCTAGACAGCTGTGGACACCACTGGATTCCAGCTCCTAGTCTGTAACTTGGGACACTATTGGTGTCTCAGATGTCACTCCCAGACCCCTTCCTACTCTCCATACACGGGTATGGGGGCAAAGACTTGGAGGTGGGGATGTGGAGGGATGCCGACTCCTCTAATCACACCTGCCCACCCATTCTCCACGCACCCTTCCGCAGACCTTGGTTCGCTCTGCAGCGATGACCTCCCTCAGGAACCACCCTCCCCCCACACCTTCCACTTTCCCTCTTCTGCTGTGTGAGGACACAGCATTCCTCCCTGCTTGCCCTTCTACCTTCTGCCGTGTGAGCACGCAGCAAGAAGGCCCTCACCAGACACCAGATGCCAGTGCCTTAATCTTGGACTTCCCCGCATCCACAACTGTGAGAAATAAATTTCTCTTTATAAATTACCCACTCCATGGTATTTTGTTATAGCAGCACAAAACGGACTGAGACAGCATGCGACTTTCTGCTGATTAAGTGTGCAATCCCCCAGGACAGGGACTACCTCTGCAATTCCTCCTCACTTCCCCACCACAACACCACAACAGTCAGCGTAGCACAGAATGGGTGGAGGCAAGGCGAGAAAACTGTAACCTTGACGACTGGTAAAATGATTGGTTGTTGGCAGCAGGGACCTGGGTGTGGCTGCTGGACTAACTTGGACGGTCTGCAGAGAGTGTTTCAGTATTCAGGGAGTCAGACGAAGGCTTGTGTCTCTGGCCACCACTTTACGACCTCCATAAACTCTCTGCAACGTGCAGATAGTTATACCTGCCCCATGGCATTGTGGTGAGGATTCAACAATGTGTCTTACCAAGACTTGGGGCTACCAGCTATGAAATGTCCACTGAAGCCACTGGCTCTTTGCACTTCACCGCCAGCCTTTACAGAGGTGAACTGGTTAAGAACGACAACTCTGAATCCAGCCCGCCTAGCCTTCTATGCCAGTTCCACCCCTATTTGCCTGTGTGAGCTTGGGCAAGCTCCCTAACTTCTCCGTACTCTGCTTTCCAAATTCGTAAAATGGGACTGAAATTGCTGCTAAATGATGGGTCTGTGGCAGAGGATGAAAGGTGCTAAGATATGGAAATATGTAGACTATTGTCTGACACCTGGTAAACCATCAACAAAAGTGCAATCCTATGTTACCCCTCTTAATGCTGCCTGAGTCGCCAGTCCAAATTTAAGCCAAAGAAGAGTCCTGCTTTATTTACCTTCTCCCCTGGAGCTCGGAGACAGCAGCTGATCCTGGCAGGGTCAATCTAACTCTCAAGCTCTCTGATGGGATCCCAAGTTCGGAATCTAAGAAACTTACCTGTTCTCAAGCTGTTCTCTTCTGTCGGCAGGAGACACGTCGATTTTTGCAGCAATACAGCTCTGGGGACTACCTATAAACACAGACTGACGCAAAGCAGAATTTGTTTTCAGTTCCTGGGAATCTCACAGTCACTTGCTGGGTACACATCGCAGGATTCTGTAGGGGAAGAAAAGGTAGATTTAATCATTTGTGCCTCCTGAAATTAAAAGACATGTCTAAATCCCAATACGATTTTGAAATAACTCAATGATGCTCTGGTGCTCACGAAGCAGGCATGAAACTGCTATTCCTGTTCATCAACCCAGGGGCACCAGACAACAAGCAATGGCCCCTGGAACCCCTGAACCAGGGCACCAGCACCAACCCGTAGGGGCTCCTACTGTGGGCAGTAGACCTCGCTTCCAGCTCTCCTGTGGGCAGGAGGACTGTCTTCCAATTGCGCTGCCTGGCTGGTCGCACTGCAGGGTCTTAAATGGTGACTTGACTGTGTTCTCTGGTGCCCTCCCTCCTCCCCCGTTCCAAATCTCCGCAGCGTAGAGCTCCTCTTGATCCACTCTGATCCGCTGGTCGGGGATTTAAAGGCAGTGATCTCAGATCTAACAAGAGACAAACCACTAATGATAAGTCTAAAGGTACTTTCCTTTCATATGTATATTTATTTGGTATTGACGATGAGGGGCCCCGTCAGATATTCCTGCGGGGGAGAATACTACTCAAGTGTTAAAGAGCAGGGAAAACATTTACTCACATTCCGCTTATCATATTCATAACAGTTTACAAAAACAATACAATGGTGAACCACCAGGTTCTAATTCCACATCCCTTTCCCACACTGTGTTTAGTTTCAGATTCTTTATGCTGGATCTCAGTGTAGTGCAGTGCATTTCAAACAGACCTAGTGCTGCTTCTTAGAGGCAGTCAATAAAATGGCACAAAAGCACATGGACATCAACAAGGCATTCACACTACATAGACATTTTATACCTTACTGACAACAAGGTAGGGAGGAAAGACGGAGATCCAGGGTGGGAAAGTGACAACATGCATCATGGGAGCCATATGAGACGAGGTAAGGACCACTGGTATGCAGTCTCCCTTGCCATAGAATGCCTCACGGCCATCCAAAAATGACAGGCACGAAAGATTAGGACCTTCCTGGGATTGGATCAAATCCCCTGCTGGTGGGACATCCAGTCACAACACAGGTCTTGGCATTCCTCCGACTATAGCTGACTGTCCAGTCCCCAAAAGGAGCCTAAGCCTAGAAGCGGGCAGCACGGCGTCTATGCCTGAATCCCTTCAGATCTCCATCACGTGACGATGGGCGCCTCAGTTTTCTTCCAACCACTGTTTCAGCAGCCTCTGAAACATTGTCTTGCTTTCCTGCTGCCTCTCTCGTTGGCATTCTCCTCTCGCTCCGGCTGTTGGGGTGCCCCCTCTGGCAGAGGGCCGGGCCGGTTGGTACCCAGGATGAGGGTCAAGCTGCTGAGGCCCTGCACTAGCGTGTCCCAGGAGGAAGGATGTGGGGCCCCGTTCCTCTCCCCAGGGATCCCGGAAACACTCGCCCTGTGGCTCTGGCAGTATCGACATTCACATCGGAATCGATTCTGATCTCTGTCACCTGGGGGAGAGATCCTGGCTTCCCTTTCAATCGGATAAGGCGCCATGTGATCACGGTGTCTCTGCCTCAGGTGCCCCAGGAACGTATTCTTTCTCTGTGGGAAGGCCAGCCTTCCCCACCGCCACTCTAGCAGGGTCTTCTCCTCTCTGTACCGCTGTTGGAGCTGCCCCTCTGGTAGAGGCGCAGGGGGGTCGGTGCCAGGACTGGGGTTCAAGCTACTGAGGCCCATCCGTTAGCTGCTTGGAGGAGGAAGGCCGAGAGGCTGCTATGCCTTCCTGGGAAGTCTCCGTGGCGGTCACCTGGGAACATTCAGGAATCAACGCCGGGTTTCAGTTCTGGAGTGGATCCATGAAGTAGACGTCTAGTCTGAGCTGGAAGCCCCGCTCGGCCCTTGGGTCTAGACAGGAAGGAGCTTCACAGAGAGCTAGAAGGCAGCAAGGAATGTGTGCGGCCAGGAGAGCCCAGACTGCAATAAAGGGTGATAAGGGAACAGAGAAAACCAGGATTATTCATTGTACTTAGCCTTTCCGTCCCTCCTCTTCCTCTCTGTAAAATGGGGATGATGAGGACACCCACCTCCCAGGCCTGTGCTGAGGACTACATGACAGAATATATCTCGGGAGCTTAGAATAGTGCATGGCATGTAATAAAGGTTTTAGAAAGGATACCAATTACTGCATCCATGTGGCATGTTATGCAAAATGATGCAATGCAGTCAACGATGTTAATTCCCTGCTGACTCTTTCCAACCCATTCTCAGGTATAATTTTAAAAACAATCAATGCGTGACTAACCCGTGCTCTTCTCGTAAGCATTCATATACTTTCATAAAGTACGCTTTCACTAAATTGTAAGCATTTGCACCATGGAGACACACCCTTTTGAATTTTCGCCTTTGTGATCACTGGCGTGGCATCTAGTCAAAAAGGCTGCTCATGCCTGTGAAAATCATCTCAGAATTCCCAGTATGTAAGAGATCTAAATGCCAAAAGTACAATAATAAGACTTTTAGAAGAAACCATAGGAGAACATCTCTGTGACCTGAGAATAAGGGAGCAAGTCTTGGACCTGACGCCAAAATCATGATCCATGAAAGAAATAAAATCGACAAATCGGGATTTCATCAAAATTTAAAACTTTGGCTCTATAAAAGACAGTGTGTTTAAGAGAACGAAAAGTAGATCTACACATTTGGAGAAAATGTTTGTCAATCACAGATCTGACGAAGGGCTGATATCCAGAATATGTGAAGTGCTTTCAAAGCCCAACAGTAAAAAATCAGACGACCCGATTAGAAAATGGGGAAAAGACTTGAACGTGAGCACATGAAACGATGTTCAACGGCATTAACCATCAGCGAAACACAAACTAAAACCATGATGAGATGCCCCAGCACACCCGTTAAAATGGCTAAAAATAAAAGTACTGGCAATAGCTGGAGAACATCCTGAGCAACTGGAATTCCCATACTTTGCTGGTGGGAAAGCAAAGTAGTATAGCCACTTTGAGGAACACTTGGGTGGTTTCTTGTAAGTTAAACAGACATTTACCATAGGGCCCAGCAATCCCACTCCTGGGTATTTACCCTAGAGAAATGAAAACTTCAGTTCACACAGGAGCCTGTACATCAATGTCTAAAGCAACTCTATCCAAACTCACGCAAAACCGGAGACAGCACAAATGTCCTTCCACAGATAAACGAATAAGCAAACTGTGGTATTCCATGCAACGGAAGACTGCTCAGCATTAAACAAGAAGAGACTACTGATAGAGGCGTTTGAGATTCATCCAAGATGTCACATTATGCTCAAAGAAAGAAACCCACCTCAAAAGGCTGCAAACTGTATGGTTTCGTTTATACGACACTCCCCCCCAAAACAAAAGTATTGAGAAGGAGAAACAGATCACTTTTTGCCAGGGATTGGGGTGGGGAAGGGGTAACTGCAAAGGGGTAGCACCAGGGGGTGTTTTGGGTGATAGAACCGTTCTGTATGCTGATCGTGGTGGTGGTCACAAGAATCTATGCATGTGTTAAAGCTCGTAGACATGTACTCCAAAAGAAAAAATAAGTCAATCTTACTGTATGCTAACTGAAAAAACCCAATGGTAGATTTTGCAGTGAGGGCATCTCTCTATATTATTTCAACAAACACATCTTGGATGAATCTTTAAAAAAAAAAAAAAACTTACATTAAATGCTAAACTGAAACTTTAGATCAGCAGCCCGGGCTCTGTTCTTTCAGCAAACTTGGAAACCAAGAATTCCCTAGTTTTCTTCAGCGGGTACCCATACTTAGAAACTTTTATTAACCAAATTGTGGCTACCAGCACGTACGTACCGCGTCAGGAAACACAGAACAATATTAGAAATGTTTCGAATCATATGACCTGGCTGTGCACACACGCAAACACCAACACACACCCCCAAAAGAGAGTCTCTTAACATTTCGGTGACTTGAAATCTATGTTTCCAACTAGTTAGTTCAGTCACATTGTTTGGGCCATCACCATCCTACGCAAGCACTCATGTGTGAAACATTTGGAAAATGCTCTTAACCCAATTACCTCCCAATCAATTCTCACATGTCACAAGGACTCCCTCAGGATCATATTTCTTCATGTAGAAAGCCAATTCTCAGAGAAAGAAAAAGATCTCACAAACACCTTTTTATGAAGAAACACTGAGACTTTAGAAACATCAACGCACAACTCACCCATGTTTTAATCACTTTTCTCTCTCTTCATCCCTCCATCAATTCTGTGAAATGAAATATCTTACTGTCCTATCTCTATGTGCACCACAAGATTCTCAGACCGCACACATGGTTATTCATAATCCTCTACAGAGGCATGAAGGACAATGAGGCCTAGAGAAGTCCCCTAGTTGAGGGTAAGGGAGCAGCTGGGGCAATAAGTGTGACTTCCCTTCCTTCATCATCTCACCCCATTTCATTCCTTCAACAGTCACTTGCCCCAGAGGGATAAAGATTTTGTATCAAATCTCTGCCTTGAAACAGCACAGCCTCAAGTTCCCTTCATCATCACACACAGCTTCTGAAGAGAGGGAAGAGACTTTGTGGGAGACGCATGTTTACTGGTCAGAGCTTCAGCTTGGGAGGTGATGTCCCTCAGTGTACCGTTTCCCCACTGTGATGGTTGATTCTACGTGTCAACTTGGCCAGGCTATGCTGCCCGGTCATTTGGTCAAATGCCAATCTAGATGCTACTGTGAAGGTATTTGTGGATGTGACTAACATTTACCATCAATAGACATTCTCTTCCTGTCACACTGGCCAGTGCTGGGTCACATCTCCATTCCTCAATCAGTCCAGAGCAAGTGGGATGGGATGACCACGGCGGTCATAGATGAAAGGTTTGGGAATGGAATGGCTCCTTGCAAGACTTGCGCCTCCTATTCACCCTGTGGGACTCAGCTTAGACAGCACTTCCTCCAGGAAGCCTTCTCTGGCCTCTTCTCCAAGCCCTGGACAGGGGACCTTCCTCTGAGCTCCCGCAACACTCTGCATTTCCCCTATCCTGGCCCCAAGCCCACTCAGCTGCCAGCAGATGGTTAGCAGACTGTCTTACCCACTTGCCTGGGAGCTGACAGAGGCCAGGGACCTGGTCTCATCCACCCATCACAGAGCCTCGACCCCAACGGGCATTCACAAATATCTATCAAGTGAAAGAGGGAGAATCTGGGGCCGTCTTAATAAACATCTCATTTAGTATGTCAACCCTGCAGAATCCATATCTTCCCACATTCCAGAGGAGGAACTTCCTGCACTGAGAGGCTAAGTAAAGTCCCTAAGATCACACGACCGGTGAGGGACAGAATTCCATCCCAGGTCTGCCTGCCCCCAGATGCACACACCCTTGGCAGCACTGCTCCTCCAGATTCTCAGCCTCCTGGGAAGCCTAAGCTAGAAAGAAATCCTGAGGGAGAGAGTCCAGGCAGGAAAGTCCTGGGCGCTGGCTCATGGGTCCAGACCTGGTCCCTGTTCTCAGTGCCGGAATGCTCCACAGAACAAACCGTGCAAGCTCTCTGCTCTCATTACCCTGCATTCTAGTAGGGGGAGGAGAAAGTAAACAGCTAGACGAGCAAATGCACGCCATGTCAGGGTGATGAGCACTGTGAAAAGAGTTGTGTTTATTTTGACAATTACAGCGGTGCTACGTGACCCTTTCTTCAACTTTCTGTAATGATGTGAAGCACCCTTATAAAATGAATTTATTTCAGTTCAAAGAATCGGATTTCATGTAATAATGTCAACGAAATAATGGTTTGACTTTGTTTTCCAGAAATGGCAAAATCCTAAAGCAAAATGACTGAGATCTGTGCAAGGACGGTGGGGGCTGGAAACTGTGCTCCTAGCCTCACGCAATGCTAGGGAAAAAGGAGTCCGAGTTCCAGCCACGTGTATTAGTCAGGGTTTTCCAAAGACAACGAACCAACAGGATATGTATGTACAGTAGATATATGAGAGGGGATTTATCAGGGGAATTGGCTCACGCAATTATGAAGGCTGAGAAGTCTCACCATAGGCCGTCTATAAGCTAGAGACCCTGGGCTACCAGTAGCACGGCTTGGCCAAGGTGGAAGGCCTCAGAACCAGGGAAGCGGATGCGTAACCTCATTTTGAGGACAAAGGCCTGAGAACCCGGGGGACCCACTCATGTAAGTCCTAGAATCCAAAGGCTGAGGAGCCTGGAGTTCTGATGTCCGAGGACAGGAGAAGAAGAGTGCATCCCACCTCAGGACACATTCGCCTTTCCTCTGCTTTTGTTCTCGCTGGGCCTCTGCCGATGGGATGGTGCCTGCCCACACTGAGGGAGGATCTTCCCCACCTAGTCCACTCAGACTCTCACCCTGGTCTCCTCTGGACACACCCTCACAGACACACCCCACAATAATGCTTTACCAGGTTTCTAGGTATTCCTTAATCTGGTCAAGCTGACACCTAAAAGTAACCATCATTCCATGCAACGCGACAGAGATTTTAAAAAGAGTTTGTGCTGCACCTGGCACCCAGGCGTTCCATATTTTTGATGCCTATGCAGATAACTGCTATGATGCTGGGTCTAGAATGGAGGGGATACTCTATTTAGCAGCGTCATTACAAAAGAACATTTAAATCAGTAAACACCCAGTGGTGCCCACTTTAGAGTGTGAAAGAAGAAAATGAGGAGACCAATGAAACATGGTCCTTGCATGAGGGATATCACAGCAGGTGGGCCAAACATAGACACAGAACAGCAGTGGGAGTACAAAGGAGGGGTACGGGGAAGGGTAGAGAGGAGGAGTGGCCAAAGCAGCAAGAAGAATACAAGGAGAAAGTCTCCTCTTGTGCATTAAGAGCTCGCCTGGACTCACCCAAGGTCCCTGATCACTGGGTTCACAGCGCCAGTTCTGCCGATGTCGGCCTG